TTTTTTTTTTTTTTCCCATTTATGATGGTAGTGAGAGGATTAAAGGAAACACTTAATTTTGGGGTGATTTGTGCTCTTGGACTACAGAAGTGTGTTTAGATGTCATTGTCCTAATCATTGTTCAATCACTTCTTGCAGTCCAAGAATTGAAGACAACATATTGTAATTACTGAGAAATTATGAAAATGTTAGGTATCATTAGGGTATATCAGATCATAAATCTGATTTCCCACCATTAAACTAAAAATGGACTAATATAAGTCAAAATAAGAGATTGGTATCTGACATGAGCTGCTACATAACTTCACAGGTGAGGAAACAGACAGAAAGTGAGCTGGATAATGGGGTGCTTACACTAAGAGTAAACAAATGAATAAATAAAATGTAATGAAAAGTGAATGCTGATCAAGATCTTCACTCTGTCTCTTCCTGTAAGCACAAATTCTTGATCTAATCTTTTCTTTGTTTTTTTTTTTTTTCCCTTAAAAAATAATTAAATAGTTGACAGATAACCCTGTGGTCAAGAGATGTAGTGTAAGCTACAGTGAAATGGATTCAGCTGCTTTTATCAAGCAGTATGCTGCTGACAAGGATGTACTCATAATCAGCTGTAGAACAGCATAAACTTAGGTACTCATATAAAAGTGTAGATAAGCAAAATAGATTTTATCAAAATGAGATCTGTCTCTTCTTTTGTTTATAATCGCCCTATGGGTCATTCAATGTGCAGACTGGAAGGTACCATTTTATACATGTAAATAGCTGTCTCTCAATCATCTTCTCCAGGAACTCAGCAATTCAGAGTAATGGTCATAATCAAAATGATAGCTAGCATGTTAAAATGAAATAATGTATCAAGGCAGCTGGAAAATGATTTTGCAGTAAACTATTTAAAAAGTAGGTTCTGTTGTTAATTTTCATGGCGTCTTGAATTTTCGGTCTCCCTTGCAGTGGTAAAATTACAATTTTACAAACTTCCTGTAAATAAATGGAGGTGTGAGCTATTCAGAAGCAGTGATGTTCTAGAGGCTGCATAAATAATACAGTATGATATTGTATATGTAAAGTGTATTTCACGTGGTGGTGATCTTCACTTGTCCTAGGTTAACCAGCTGCAGCATGAGCTGTCAAAGAAGGATGACCTGCTGCGTATTGTTTCCATCGCCTCTGAGGAGAGTGAGACAGATTCCAGCTGTTCCACACCACTGCGCTTCAACGAGTCTTTCACTGTGCCCTACGATCCATTGCAGCTGGATGTCCTGCAGGATAAACTCCGAGAGCTGGAGGAGGAGAACCTGGCTCTGCGATCCAAGGTACATCTGACTGATGGCATGTGCTGTGTGCGCTGAGTGTGAAACAAATAATCAGGCTGTTCAAAATCCAGCAGCAGGGTTTCTCTTGAAGCACATGGCTATTTTGTGACACTGTATGCAAATCATTCCCGAGCACTTTCCCTCCATGGCCACATCCTTCTGTTTCCTTCATTCCTCATTATCTCTAGAGTTTTCCAGCAGTCTGTTCTCAATGCAGTTTGTGATGCATGAAAAAGTGTGGGAAGATATGTAAGCACCCACCAAAAGTACTTGGACATATCAGGCCCTCAAGCTCATGCAGTTTGTTTTGACATAAATCTTACTGCAGTGAGCAGGAGTATTTGGGGAATTCCATTCTGTTGCCATTTTTTTTCTCAGATGATATTTAAGGGTTAATAAGCTCCCACTTAAATTATTTTTAAGACACACTTAGTTGTGACTATGTGATTAGTTCTCTCTTTTAACTGGTCTCTCGTGTGTAATACTTGAATACAGGCTCTAAATGTGCCATTAGAAAAATAGAGACTAAATGGCCAGACAAAAAATGGCTATAAAATGGAACCAACAGCAAAGGTTCCAAGAACTGGAGTCAACAAATGCAGTGCCTTTTCTTTGGTAATGAAGAGTGGAACTTGTAAAATAGGACATTGTTTAAAACTGGGTTATTTTTGTTGCCTTTAAGAAAAGCGGGTGTTTGTAAGAAAAGTGAAGATTGTTTATTTTGTGTGTGGTGTTTCAGTTTTTTTATGTGAGGTTTTCCCAATATAAGCTTGTTATACCAGTACTACATTAGATTCCTTTAATTTCAATAAAATACACTTCTGCCCTTGTTTTGTCTCCAAAATACTCAGCCTGAGATGCACATTCTTCCTAAAAATCCGTAAGACTAACTAGATATGTTAGTAGTGCTGTAGGATAAGAAAGAGAAGTTTGCCTTAATTTGGCTCATAAGCCTGTATATGATTGCACAAGTTTACAGACCAGCCAGGTCTCAATCATTCTGTGATATAACAAAGCCTTCAGTGACTTGAAATAGCCTCAATTACAATGAGACTCTATTTGCTTAGATTTCTTTTCATGTGACAGCACTACATAAAGAGGTGTATTTGCCTGCACTTGTGTAGATGCACTTTTTGCTGGGATAATCTTTAAAATCACTTGCTGAGTTTTACAGTGTGAGTCCCTTACTGGCAAACAGTCCTGAGTATAGAAGATTTGGCTGTGCTAAATTTAATGTTGCCATCTTCACAATCAAAAAGAGACATGGGAATCTAGAGTGCTTCATATTGTTTAGTTATGTTGTGATAATCAGTCTCTGGCCCAGAAAATTTGGTCTAAATAGACAAGTTTGGAATATGGAGAAAAGCTGTTCTATTAAGAGCTTTTCAGTGCCATAAGAGAGTTGGCTAATATCAATCAGTTTTCAAGGTGGTTTTTTTAAGTTAAGTTTTTTGAAGCAAATTAAATTGATTATTTCTGATTACTGTCTTGGTTCACCTTCCCTACCAAATTACATCTTCTTGCAAAAATTTTTTATTCGAGCCAAGAGATCAGGCTTTCTTCATGTGTCTATCTGTCTTTCACATAAAACACCCTGTAAAATTCTGAGAAACAGGTAATGTTGGAAAACATAAGCACAGAATTTTTAAAGAGAGAGGGGAGACTCTTCAGTTGCAAGAATTTTAGAAGTAAAAATTTATGACATTATAGATTGGTATTGATAAATGAATAATTTTCTCAAAGGCTTGCCATCTGAAGTCAGAAACCATCACATATGAAGAGAAGGAACAGCAGCTGGTCAATGACTGTGTCAAAGAACTCCGTGAGTATCCAGGCTGTATTTTGCAATGGCAGGATGGTAGGTGAAATACCTAGTGCCTACACCTTCTTAGTTAACCCTGAACCTAAAAATGGGCTTCAGTAATTTATGCCAATCATTGAAGTCTTCCCCTTTCCCAAAGTGCAAGGTTGTTTCTGTATTTCATCAGGTTTCACTCTTGGCATTCAAATTCAGCTGTGTGTGTCATGTTTAGAAGGGAAAAATGAACACAAAAGCTTTCTAAACTGGAGCCTACAGACATTAAAATTCATTCTGTTTGTATATTCAGCACACTTGACACTGAAATGGGTTAGTGTATAGACTCTTAAAACTATGAACACATTAGTTTTAGAATGTATGTTATGAACCAGAGCATTTAAATTAGGAAGTGGCTTAATTTGTCTAGAGCAGTTGTTTGTATTTGCTTTGAGGACTGCTTATTTACGAAGAATTGCAGCTACACTTACATAAATGTATGCTAAGTATTCTGAAACAATAAATAACAATATCTTTTTTTATCTGTAATCATTTGATGTGTTCTACTTCCTTTGTGCATAATAACCTTAAGTTATATTTAAGATTTTATTTTTTTCTCTATGACCCCCATAAAGAAGACTGGGTTGCTGCTTTATTTTTCTTGTTACAGATTGCCATAAAATACTATGAATTGATACTTAGTTGGTTAATTTACTCTCATCCCGCTGAGAAAATATGCATCTTTTGCAAATAGGAGTTAGTTCAAATATGCTCTCCTATTTTCCTTCGGTGAGAATGTCTGTGAGTTCACTTTTTTAATCAATTCTATAGCATGAGTAGACATACTAGGTAATTTAGATTCACAGAAAGAATCAATCTTCTCCTAAAGCTGTGTTGCCTACAGTTTTAAAATTTGCATTTTCAGGAAAAAGGTATCTGACTGAGCTTAAATGCTCACAGGCCCATAAGCAGAGCCTTGTTCTGCAGTAAATGTGCGGGGTACAACGAGCACTAAAGTTGTAGTGTGACCTTTATGCAAGATTGATTAGACTTTCTTATGATTTTGCAGTGCTTTCAGGGCAAGTGTACAAACAAGGCTAACATCATAAAAATATTTCAGCTCTTGGAGTTGATTTGTCATTTAACTTTGTTAAGTGCTTGCTAAAAGGGAAGAAAAAGAATCAGGGAATTGTATTCACTGGATCTTTGGGGAATAGATACTGACTAGGATCAAGAGTGTATGTTACAGTTTACAAGATTTGACAACATACCTTTGCTTACAATGGTAGTTAATAACAAGATTAATTCAGAACCAGACTTTTCCAGAATATTTCAATCTGGCTTTGGTCATGAGCCGTTACATCATTTGAAATTGTTTTTTTGTGGTCATTTCACATACTGATCGTGTGTGTTTCAGATTCTGCATACTTAGTTCTTAATATTTTATACTTGCATTTGAAATTGACTCTTTTTCCTCCTTCACCCCACTGTTAGTTTTTTCCTTATGGAAGTTCTAAGGCACCTACTTTTATGTATTATGAATTTATTTCCTAAGAGAATTGGTGGTTTTGCAGATTGTTGTTGACTTTCACTCATCCTCTCTTGGATTGAGGAGTTTGGGGGTTTTTTTGTGGGAGGAGGTCTTGACTAAGTTCCTTTTGTGTTTTGTAGGGCAAACAAATGCTCAGATTTCCAGGATAACAGAGGAGTTGTCAGAGAAGAGTGAGGAGGTGATTCACTACCAGGAAGAGATCTCATCCCTTTTGTCCCAGATTGTTGATCTTCAGCATAAACTCAAAGAGGTAAGGGAATGCTGATAAAGTGTCCGCGTGTGCGCAGGTGTCTGTGCAGCATGCCTGTGCCAGTGCTCACAGCAGGCAAAAACTGACTTGGCAAGCCATGGGGTTGCACTGTTCCAGGAAAGTCTGGCAGATCAGTCTCTTGGGGAAATCAGCTGAGAAAATGATGAGCACCTTTTTGTGCTTTCAGAATGTGATTGAGAAGGAGGAGCTGAAACTTCACTTACAAGCCTCCAAAGATGCTCAGAGACAGCTGACAGCAGAGGTATTTAAGACTTCTATAACATACATTTAGATAAATGTTTGAGATAGAATAAAGGAGAAAGAAAACAGAGAGAAAGTGGGAACTACTGCTTTTTAATTATGTAGGATTTTAATCTTTCATTGTGTTAAGTCATATGATTGGAGGAAAAGAATGATTATTTTACTTACACCTACACAAATATTTTTGTAGTTCACAGGAGTATAAAAGGCAAGGAGCATGTCTCAAATAGGGAGGTCTTACTATTCTTAGTTATGAGAAAAAGAGTGGTTTAGTGTGAATATTACTGATTGTATTAACAGTAGTGTGGCTCATTAGATTTTAAGGCAGTTCTCTTTTTTTGCTTCTTTTGCATCGGTAGTTAGTGTATTTGCATTTTTTCAATGAATTTTCCTTTGAATTTCATCATACTTTTTCCTCTTTTGAATCTTTGTGCTTTGTCACTAAAACTGCTATGGATGCTGTGCTATTGTCCATTCCAGTTGTGGGAAAGAATCTTGCAGTGTCGAATCAGCCATTCTAGGTTACTGTAGGAGTTCATTCAGTTTCACTGTCTTCTCTCTGAAGAGATCATGTGATGGCCTCTCTTCTCTTCCAGCTCCATGAGTTTCAAGATCGGAATGCAGAGTGTCTGGGGATGTTGCATGAGTCCCAGGAAGAAGTGAAGTTGCTGCGCAGCAGAGCCAGCTCTGTCGCTTGTCTCTGCCACCCGCAGTCCCGTGGAGCATTTCCTGTGGTAACCAACACCTCTAGCGTGGCACACACCAGCTGGCACACACAGCTGTGGCAGTGAGCAGCTCTAGGAGCACAACAGCCTTTGCAGGAACTGCAGCCAGAACTATTTTGTAGTAGGCAAAGGAGCTGATCTGTTGGTTTGTCAATTCTTCAATGTGTACGCTTGTTAGAAATGTAGGAAATTAGTTAGGAAAGTAACTGTTCATGTGACATATTGTAACACTGCAGTTTTTCCTTTTTATATGCCATTTCTTTTTAATAAGGGAATTGGCAAGTTCTATAGCTTATGACCAGTTGTGCTAGGGTCTTGTTTGATGTTGGTGTGGATTTTGTAACTCAACAGTGTTTCTTTAAGAAACAGAGTATCTCACATACTCAGAATATCTGGGAATTCTTCAGATTTTGGTTGGTTCCTCTGTGTGTACAGAATCACTCATGTACACTTGTAAGAAGTGCTCTTAAAATTGTAGCTCAACTAAAGAAACCAACATACAGAGTACATAAAGAAACACAAAAAAAAAGCAGATGTTGCAAATGAAAACTGAATCCATCCTGGTTACACATAGGTGTCGTTATGGTGGAAAAACTGTTCCACATGCCCTTAGGCATGAGGCAGAAGGGTTTGTCCAAAACATATTGATACTATGCAAACAAATGCTGATTGTTAAAAGTAATTTTTACAGATATTTTCTGCTAAAATAGTCAGAAGGAAGACTTGAATCTAATTTGTCAACTCTTATGGTTTCCATTTTTCTCTAGGATTCCCTTGCAGCAGAAATTGAAGGGACAATGCGGAAGGAATTGAGTCAGGGTGATGAATCTGTTCTCTCCAAGCAAAAGTATGTTTTCAGATCTCTATGTGCTATTTTGATACTTATCGATAGAGTTGAATTAATTAAGGTGAAACTGATTTCTGGGACATAAATGTATATATTCCCTCTATAATGTTTTAATTGTAAATAAAAAAAGGTTTATGGTATTTGGTAATCTTTTCAATTTTGAAACCTGCTATTCTTACTTGACTCTATGAAGAAGCTGGAAATCGCTAAAAGGATGTTATTTCATTCTTTAATTTGAGACTTTTTGATCCAAATTCTCTGATGCACAGGACTAGTTTTACCCCTTTTAATGCTTATAAAAAAGTTGTTGAACAAATGACATTATAGCTGAAAGATATATAATGCTTTTCAAAACCCTGAAGACGTGTTCCTGGATCTCATAATTCTGAGCAAGGAGTAATATGTGTTTCTGAAATCATATACAAATTAAATAAATAAAATATATACTTTTCAATATTCTAAAGCAGCTATCAGTAGAAGTTCAGGTCTTTCAAGTAAAGAAGTGGTAATTATGATACTTAATACAGTAGATCTCTTGAAGATATGAGTGTTTTAGGCAATTATGTTTTTCTGAACATCTTATAGTGGGTCTCCACAGACTTTTCAAACTTTGCTTTTTAGAGATTCTTCTTTATTATATCTTTTTTGCTTCTGAAAACCACTTTTGTTTGTTTGTCTTTTCCACAGGGGTCAACAGAAGCGAGTGTTTGACACTGTCAAGATTGCTAATATCATCCGTGGCCGCTCCTCTTCCTTTCCTGCCCCATTGCCAATCCCTGGATCAAATCGCTCGAGTGCTGTTATGACGGCAAAGCCCTTCCAGTCTGGCGTGCACCACTTGGAGAGCCACGCACGGGTGGCACCAGGGAGCAGCTCTGAGAAGAATTTGAAGTAGGAAGCACAGCCTGTTACCTTCTTCTGAAAATAACTGATTCAAAAGTAAACCCAGAACGGACTTCTGCTCTGTTATAGAGAAATAGTTAATTTAATGGGCTTAATATCTACTATTATTTGATGTTTCTCACAGAGACACTCACAGTCCTGGCCAGCCGGGAACCCCTGGAGACAATGACCTGGTCACAGCTCTGCACAGGCTCTCCCTGCGTCGTCAGAACTACCTGAGTGAGAAGCAGTTCTTCGAGGAGGAGTGGGACCGAAAATTGCATTTGCTTGCTGAGCAGAAAGAAGAGGCTAGTAGCTGCAGTACACCAACAGAAAGCTCTTTTTCCCCAAGTACAAACTCAGAATTCACAGATCTCTCTGCCAGCTCTAGTAATCTCCGTGTTCTCCTACCAGAGAAGTTGCAAATTGTCAAACCCATTGAAGGTAAGAGAATGATCTTCCTTCTCTCATTAGCAGAAAAGGATTTTATATTTGCCAGTTAAATCATCGTGTGTATAGCTAGGTATGATATGCAGTAACAGGAAGCAGTAGTATTTGGTAGACTCCATGCTGGTGTTAGGCTGCTTCTTGGCATTTGCCGTCCAGTGGGTGTGTGGATCACAGCAGCCAGCTGCACTTGTTTTCATAATGCATTCTTGTAACGTGATACAGTAGTAGGTAATGGCTCTCTGAATCTCTTCTCTTTTGTCACATCAGGATCTCAGACCCTTTTTCATTGGCAGCAGCTTGCTCGACCCAACCTCGGCACGATTCTAGACCCAAGACCTGGTGTTGTTACTAAAGGCTTTACCCCTCTGTCTGATGATACTGTGCACCACATCTCTGACCTGGAGGAAGATGATGAGGAAGAGGGTGAAGGAGGTATAACATTTCAAGCACAACAGTCTTTCCCGGAGGAAAAGAAATGTGCATTGGCAAAACCAGCAGCAGGCATTTTCCTGCCACCTGTTACTTCAGCAGCACTACCACTCACTGGTAAGAAGCACGGTTAGTGTTTCTTCTGTGTCTATTTAGCACTGTCCTTTTCTCTGTGGAAAGTATTTGTGTGGTAATGCTGTTTTTGCTCTTCTTGTTCTTTTATGTCAAAAAAAAAGGACTCAAAAAATTAACAGTGATAATAACATTGTCTTCAAGTTTGATTCATTCTTATGTGTTTTTACTTTTACCCTTAATGCATATAAATTCTTCACATTACAGCCTCAAATCCAGGGAAGTGTCTATCTTCAACAAATTCCACATTTACCTTCACTACCTGTAGGATCCTTCACCCCTCTGATGTCACTCAAGTAACTCCCAGGTATGAGGACTGCTAACATCCTAAATGCTGCTGCATAGGATTAAACAGTTACTTTCTGGCTTTTGATACATGGACCAGTTTTAAAAATACTAAGGCAGTTAGGCAACATGTAGGATGTTACTAATAAAAATAGTTGTAATTGCGAAGGAAAACTTGGAATTCTCTAGAGTGAGAATGAAAACAAGTTAAGGTAACTTGAAGTAATTTTAGCTCTTAAGTAGCAGATGCCTTGTATCATACAGCTATTGTGGAAAAAAAGATTCCATTATGTTTTATATTCTGATTCAGTTACATTTTTTTAATTAACTGGACAACTATGTTAATATTCTATCTAATAGAGTACAGGTGATCACAGAAGGTAAATTCATTGGTACTTTGCAGTACCGTAATTTTGAGTACTGAAGTTGTCACAAATGATAGCAATAGTTAAGGTTTTTCTTGAGTCTTCTGTATAGTAAAACACAAATGAAGAGCAGGTATAAAAATGTCTAATGTGTGTATATTCTCTGTTTAATTTTTATTTTCTTTCAGTTCCATGGGTGCTCCTTTTTCACTGGGGAATACTGGCAGCAGTACTGGAAACCCAGTAGTGAGCACTCCAGCTAATCCTTACAGACGAAGTATTGGAGAATTTCTTACCAACAGAAGAGATTCAACTACTACTTTCAGCAGCACAAGCAGCCTGGCTAAACTTTTGCAAGAACGAGGCATCTCTGCCAAGGTTTATGACAGCCCCATGTTAGAAAAACTGCCTTTGCTGCAACACCCTCAAACTCTTCTCATTCCTTCTACTCCACCAAATTCTCCTTCACGTTCACCTTGTCCTTCCCCTCCACCATTTGAGCCTCGAGTGCATCATTCGGAGAATTTCCTGGCTTCTCGACCAGCAGAGACATTTTTGCAGGAAATGTATGGCCCAAAGCCTTCCTGTAACGTCCCTGACGTAGGCCAGCTGAAGATGAACCTCGTGGACAGACTGAAGAGGCTGGGCATTGCCAGGGTGATCAAGCCCCCTGAAACACAGGACCATGGCAAGAATCAGGGGCCAGAGGTTGGCTTGCAGAGGCAGGACTCAGCTGGGTTTTTAAATGCAGGTAGCAATTTAATGGCAGGACTCAGAAGAAACCAGAGTCTTCCAGCCATAATTGGAGCATTAGGAGCTCCTGTTTGCACACAGTCATCAAAAATGGATATACTAAAGGAAGACTAACTGGCCTGAAAGGTGTTTGACTTAGAGCACAGTAAATAATTTGAGGGATGAACATCCAGTACAGGCATTGTTAGGTGTGTTACAGAAGTGTTGGAGAAGGCATGTGCATGTTAAAATGTGGGAGAGACAAGCGCTGGGACCAAGGAGCAAAGGAACATTGCTTGGATTTGAGGAAGAAGGTTTTGTGGGAGATAGAAAGGTAAAACCAAAGCTTTATTTCAAGACCCCCTTCAGCATCTTGTCTTAACTTAGAAGTGAAGACTGCTGTAGACATTTTCAGTGTTTTAACCCTTTAACCTGTATGTGTAGATACTATTTTTCCACCATACATCCACAGTATTTACTAATTGTTTGCAGTCAGGCTACATAATATAAATATAATATTAAAATAACAATCAGTCTGACCAGCCTTATCAGCCCAAGTTCCTCTATGTAGGAAACGAATATGAAAACTTGGATTTTTTTTCATTCTTTTATTTTCCATTTCAGAAACTCTGCTCTTTTGAACTCCTCCTCACTTTCAGAAGCAGGGGAGAGAATCTTTAGCTCTGTGTAAGAAAGTAATACTTCAGTTTACAAACACAGGATTTATATTTTGAAAGAGTGCAATTGTGTTAGTGAGGTGTAAGTTAATTTCTTTCCAGAGCTTGTGAATAAAGCACACAGAGAAATGTGCAATGAATAAGAATTAAGAACCGGCAAAATGTGTATTGGGGTGAAAACATCCAGCTAAGAAATCTTTCTAACGTGTAGTTTGCATCTATTTAAATGAGGATAGTTTTGTTGCACGCACACTCACACAAATATCTCAGGCACATTTCAGCATTGCAAAAGGAAATAAACCCTAGGTGCTTGATTCAGGGCTTCTTTTTAAAGACTTAAATGGAGATCATTTACTTCAAGGAAATTGTTGGAAGTTCAGAAAACTGCCTCTTGTCTTGCCAAGTACACATTCTGTATATTTGAGAGTTCTCCAGTAAACTTTATGCCTTTCATTCAATTATTTCTCATTTTAAGCAGGATTTTGTTTAAAATATTTCATTAAGAGCAAAATTTGCAAGTCTCTATATAGAAACAGGAAGAAAAAAGCTGGTGTTCTTTGTAGCATTTTAATGAATATTGAAATCCAGTGATCAGTGAGGGAGTGTGGTTCTGAACCTAGCTGAGGCAGACTTTCCAACTCAAAAAAGAACTTCATTTTAGAAATCTGGTTTCTGAGTGTTAATGATAAAAATATTACTGCCCATGCTGCTTTTTTGATCCCTTCCTGTCCAAGGTTCTAACCATAAGTGAACAATCTACAAGAGATGTTTTGTGTAGCTTAAGAAAAAGTTGTCTTTGCTAGTGACCTGAATAGAAACAGCTTCTTAGTCTTTATATAAATTTTCACTGTACCTATCAACATTATAAAATTATTTGTTTCCATACAATTAGATTAAGCAGTTAAGTTTACCTTTCCTGTTACTATGTAAGTGGGGTATAGCTGGCAGCTGTCTGGGAGTGTGGTGTGAAGCATCAGTGCAATCACACTGATTTGCATTTGCTGTTAGGCACATCATCCATAATCAGCACCCTCGTTTCTGCAGGGGTGAATGGAGTAAGGCAGAAAAAGAAAGCTTCTTATCCTTGTTTATAGGAAATTTGTAATGTGGCCTTTCTGATTTTACAGTTCTGTAGATCTTGTGATGACTCTCTGATATTTTTGTTTTGTAAAAGGAAAAGGAGTAACCACTTCAAACTTGCACAGGGATTCTTAGCAGAAGCTTGTCTGTCAGCAGCGCACAGAAATATTCTGGAACTCCTGGAGTTGCCTTTTGCTCTCTAAGCAAAATCTTACACTTACAAAAGGTGAATTTTATTTAAAAGACTATATACGGGTTAATTTTGTTTTTTAAATGAAAAATATTTAATTTTTTCATGTAAGTATTTATGTTTGTATGTACTTAGCTGTGCATGGTGTCTTGCCTAGCTACATACGGTAAGAGTGAAAGGAGGGACTGCCATGTTGGTCTCAGTGGCCTGGGATGGGTATGTCTGCTGTGTAACTTCCAGGGAAACGAGTTAGCAAAAGCTGATTAGACAGTTTGGTACCAACAGAGAAGTGTAGCATGTCAAAAGTCCGTCCATTTTATGTGTTTATTGTAGGAATACCTGAGTTACAGATAAATTTTTGAAGGTACTACACTGTGTTTCTAACTGGCTTCATAAGATAACTCCAGCCACTGGATCAGCAGAGTAGCAAATCAGCTAAGGCAGAATTCCTTTGGCAGACCATGGTTCAGGTAAAACTAATCTACAAGCATATAAATGAAATGCATGTTTCTCTTGGAGACACTTCCCTATTCCATAGCCCAGCAATACAAACTGGCTCAGTTCGAACAATGCTGTGCATGTTGACAGCTTGGTTTGTTCTGTAGCTGAGGTGTATCATCAGATACTTTACATAAGGCAAAAAGAAAATGGAAGAACCTCAATACCATGGTGTTTGTGTGTGTTTACCCAGTTGGTTGATGCTGTGGTGCAGTGTTGTTCAAATTCTGTCATGCGTTTATGCCTTTGGATAGTCATGCATAGTTTGGATATACATGCCTGGCTTGCAATAACAGGGAAAATTGATACTTCTTCCAAGTTTACCATTTTGTACCAAAACCTAGAAGAGAAACTCTTTTTTAATAATATGTGTTTCTGAGAACATTTTACAAGTTACCATGATTCTAGGAATGATTTGGCTTTTGTTGTCTCCCATAAGAGAGGTGACAAACTTGCATGGCTGACATCCTGCACCTAGAAGGAAGAAGTAAACCTAGAAGGAATGGAGAATTACATTTTGGCAGGGTTCTGTTATCTTGCAGGTTTGAGTCAAACATGGATGCTAGAAAGTACTTATCCGTGCCTGTGCAAGTTACAAGTGACAGAAGGGAATTTTTGTACTTACTGTAACTCAGTGATACCTGCATGCTCAAAATACCTGTGATCAAAGTTAAAACATCTACTGCAGTTGAATAGCAACAGAGGGAAGGAAAGTAATTGCGTTTGGGTTTCATTTGGCTGTTACATCAGGGAATTACACACAGTGTTTGAACAGTCTGGGATTTTCATGGTATTTTTTCCATCTGCTTTTTGCACTTACTGTTGTTTCATAGTGGAATGTAAATTTGATAATAAACATGTATAACATGCCATTTTTCAGTATATTGCTGATCTTCTGTTGTTTGTTCCAGATGTCATCTTCTCTACTACAGTGTTCTATCACAAACCTAAAATCAGACCTTTTTTGTGGCTAAAATTTATAGTGATTAGTATACTGTACACAAGCTTAGTGAAGTGAGCTGGTGTCTGCAGAAAAGGTGGCTTTAGAAGCCAATAAATTTATACTGATAGTATTTAAGTGTTGAGCTTCACTTTAAGTGAATCTGTTAATATTTTCTGGTACCTTGGGGGGGTTTTGTGCATGGGTGGTGCTTTGGAGTTTTTTCCTCCCCTCTTTTACAACAGCTGGTGTGTTCCTCTAGCATTAGTGTTAGCACTGCACTGTTGGCTAAGACCACCACGGTTGTTTTTTCATCTCAGTAGCTGATGTTATGTGAGCCCTACAGATTTGTGACAAATGGGAGATCTGTGTGCATGCTCACCACAGGAAGCAATATAAAATGTTTTAAGGAGCTGGGTACTTACCTAATGACTTTTTCTGTGCTTAGTTCTAAGACTCAAAGCTCAGCAAGGTAAGTGAACACAGGGTAACTGGACATCGTCAACCATGAAGCTGTACCAGAGCAACTGATTTTTGCTGTCAAGACCACGTAGAGGATATGCTGAAATCCAAGTCACAGACACATCCTGCTGAGGATACCAGACTACAAATGCTTAACTTGATCTTGAAGTGTATCAAGCCGCTAAGAATTCTAAGTCGTGGCGACAAGCAACAAAACACACTGATGTGAGCTGATGATATCCTATAAAATTTACAGCACTCCTCTCTTTATTGTGTAAAGGTTAGGCAAAGAGTACACAAAGCTTTATAATGGTTGTCTTCTAAAAGTTGCCTTGTAAAGATACCTTATGAAAGCAATAGCAATGTGGTACAGATAAGTGGACATCAAGTGTATTTTAGCCAGCAAACCACTGAGATCAGCTAAATAAATCAGAGATGAATCAGAGACCAGCTCAGAGACGCTCTCAAGTATAAAGTGTTAATACAAATTAATGTGTTAATAACAAATTTCTTAAGGCTTGTTCTCCTCAATTTATTTTCAGTAAAAAATATCTGCCCCTGTGCTAAGAACAGGCACTGAGTCTGTTGTGTTTGACTGAATTCTGAGCTGAAACCAGGCAATTCCAGGCTGCAGCAGCTCTCTCTGCCATGCAGTTCTCTCCCATTTAGTTGACAGGAAAGATGAGCCTCTTCCTCAGCGTGAAACTGGGCTGCGGCATCTGCTTATTTGCATCTCGCTCACAAGTTTTTCTGCTCACTTCTTGATTTACTGCTGTCAGGATGGAGAGAACATCTTCCCCTCTGCAAAGACACGAGTACAGCTTGTATTGGCAGTTAACATCAGCAAAATAACATTCTTGCTATCTTGATATACACCAGTGCTAACGGCTCCTGTTTTTAATAGGCTTCAGAACACTTCCCTAAGTTGCTTTGAACAGTTTGCATGGTGCTGCTCTGTCTTTCATCATTGTTTCAACTCTGAGCAAGTATTCCCCCTGCATACCATCTACCTCTGCATCTAAATCAAATTTCTGTCATCCAGAAGGAAAATTCAGGTGTTACCAAAAATAAGCCTATGGAAACATATGTACCGAGGACAGCTGTACTCCAAGTGCTGGCACAGTGCCTGTATGTACCAGGTTCCCTCCTTGGGACTTCTGTAGGAGACGTAATCCTGCAGCGTGGCCATGCCCAGGAGGAAGTCGGCCTCTGCAGGGATGCAGTCAAGCTGAAACCTCGCATCTCGCTCTACAGAACAATCTTCCTCTACAGAATCTGTTTCGATGGCCACACCTTTATGGAAAGCTTCACCTTGGCAGGCCTGAATAAAAAAAACTTTTGGTTTTCCAGCAAGTGAAATGCAATTCTGTGCAGTGAAGGAAGTGGTCAGTTCCCTAATAGGTACTTCCTGCCCATCAACACCATATATAATGCCTTTTTTCCCATGAGACAGGATACAGCAAACAAAACAGTCTTTGTCCTCGTGGTCTGCACTCTGGAAGATGTTCACAGTCTCACGGATTTCTTCTGCAGTGAGGTCTCTATATTCTTCTACTCTAAAATGAAGCTTGCTAAAGACATTCCTCAGAGCCGCTAAAAAACAAAGAGAAGGAAAATATGAGACATTTCATTGTATGAAAGTTGGACTCTGCAACATGACCACATCCACACAGCTGTCACTGAAGGCCCCCAGCTGGGTAATAATTAGCATTGACTCCATGATTGAAGAAGGCTGATCAATTGCTTTATTATATCATCCTATACTATATTATACTATACTTAGTAAGAAACTCAGTAACCCTTACAGCCAATCCAATACAGCTTTGACCTAATTGGTCAATCTATCCAAACCATCCAGTGTCCAATTAAGAAATCACCCTTTGGTAAACAAATCCCCATGACACATTCCACATGCTCACAACAGCAGGTGCAACAAGTGGACATAAGAATTGTTTCTCATTATTTTCTCTGATTTTCTCACAGCCTTTCCCAGGAAAATGCCTGGGAAAGTCTGTGCCTCCTCTCTGTGGCCAGAAAGCTGCTGCCACACATAGCTACGTTCCTGGACTGAAACTATTCTAGTAGTCTAATCACTAATCATATCTCTACTGCATTCCCTTAACTGTCATTAAAAGATTTCCTTGCATATTTCTGCATATTTTAGAATTAGTGTGAGTAAGGCTGATGCAAACCTAGCCTAGCTTGTAAAGTCCAGGCTCAGGGTGCTGCTTAAGGTTTCAGTCACCTCACTAAAACTGCAAAATGCAAGGGAATTTTTAAGTGTCAGGCACTAAAAACTCCATGAGTTGATCAGGACTTGTCAACACAGTCAACAGAGCCAACTGAGCCACTACAACAAAAGTAATCCTAGAAAGGGAAGACTGAAATTCAGACCTTTACAAAGAGAAACAAGATTTCTATTTTTAAAGATTCACAAACTCATCTTTAATGTTCACTGTACCTGCATCCACATCTGTCCCATTCCGATCCTTCAGGTGTTTGTGTTCCAGCACTCCTTCCCTAGCTTTTGCAAAATTATGATTATTCAGGATCAGGCACACTCCACGGGGTCGACTGGTCATTTTGTAAGCTTCAAGCAGCTGAAAAGAAAGACTCCTGGTGAAACTCGTGTGCTCTCCTCCAGGTGCTCCTTAGCTGTTGTGAGTGGCAGAGCAGGGTACAGAGCCAGCTGGCTTCCTCTCCAGGCAGCCCTCTCTCAACAACTTTGCTCCCAGGGCCTGGCAGTGCCCTGCCCCAGGCAGTCTGTGCAGGACAGCACCCTGGTGGACGTCCAAAGTCAGGCTCAGCCCACACAAGATGCTCTGTTCGCTCATATCTCAGTACCAAGCCAACTGCCTAATTCCTGCTACCATAAACAAGTCTATCTTGCTACTCTTGCAGATGTTTCTGAAGTACAACACTGCAGCAGCTGTGCCTGTGACACAGCTTCAGAATAAAGGATGCAGAGTTGTGTAATTTTCTTTTCCTATTCAGTGCTTCTAACATTTGGTCTTTTCACTTCATAGAGGGGCGAGTTCTTCTAAGGCCAAATGATGATGTTTCTAAGAAATAAACTAACTTACCTGGGAAGAGTCATTAAAACTGCCAAGAGGACCAGGTGCTGCAGATGACACCAGATGTCCCCCAGGGCATCCTGTGCTGCCCCTCTGTTCCTCTGTGATGAGCACCTCTTCTTGGCCTGCAAAGCATTCATGATCAGTCCTGTACAATACCTATGCATCACTTCAAGAACAACTAAGGGGAAGAGGCTGATTTGTTCTGTTTTACCGAACAGCTTTAGTCCATCTTCAATTCTGTTCCACAGGCTGATGTTAATTTTTTCACAGAGACTCTTCAGCATACTTAGGTTGTCTTTCCCCAGAAGGCCCTTCTTCTCCATCTCAATGAGAATGTCAAGCATTGTCTGGGTAATCAGAAAGGCAGTTTGCTCTTAGAGCACCTCCATGCTGCCACTGGGAGTGAAGCTGCAGCATGTGCACCTAAAGCTTTAATGTAGTTGACAGCACATGTGATCCACAGAGTCAATCCAACTAACTGAGAGCTCAGGTGAGACCTCAGCTGAGCCAGTTAATCCTAGCTCAACAAAACCTACAAGTACTGTTAAGTACCAACATCTTCTCAAAACATACCGATTTCCTTTCTGTAGCTCAGAGGTGCCATGATCTACTTAAGATCTAACCCAGGGCATTTAACAGGAATATGTAGCAGTATTTTTTAATTACTGCTTTCATTCATCTTTCAGTGGCTATTGTGCACTCAGATGAAACAGCAGAATCACTTAAGCACTGGCAAAAAGGTTTTTCTGTCCCTCGGGGCCCTTTTGCTTCAGAGCAATTTCTACACCTTCATGTGAGGTGTAGAGATTGCTCTGATGCAAAAGGGGACCCAACAGACAGAAACTCATCAGTAAGTGGCAAAGCATAGTGGTCACCCCAAGAATTTACTAGAACAGCTCTTGCAGTCTCCCTTCTAAGAAAAGAAGAAAAATCCTCAAAACTTTTATTAGACAGAACAAAGTACCAAGGAGTCAGGACTGCAGGCTGGGACAGCATAAAAGCACTGGATCTCCTGCAAGACTACTTGTAAATTCCAACTCATTTGACTTAGCCTTGAGAAGAATCTGCTGCTTGTATCTGTATTTCCTGCATTTAAAAAAAAAAAATAATACTCACAGTGGATCACTTTCTGTATTTGATAATGACTGAGAAAGAAGGAAAAAAAAAGTCTATTGGGCAAGATAAGTGAACATGTTCATCAGTTTTTCATTGATTAAGGCCACTGAGTGCCCTGTGTTGCTTGGATATTATGGCCTGGCACTGCTGGCACAGCTGGTTGTGACACTGCTGCAAAAACTGTGCCCGACAACAGCACAAACAAGTCCCATATGCACCCAGGGGCACCCCTTTTCTTGTGGTGTTTCCATCATGAGAGTGACAACATAAAGAAGAGTGAAGCTCATTCACCCATGAGCAACCCAATTGCCTCTATGGATTATAGTAATAATTTTTAAAAAGTATTAAACAGATATTTACAGTCTCACGGGTTAGCTTGCTTTTTGGCAATTCGTTGACCAAAAGTAACTTGAAAGACATCAGCTCATCTTCAGTGACATCTTCAAACAGCTGAAAGAGCAAGTATCTAGAAAAAGAAGTGGAGGACGTTGTTTCATCGTGTTTCAAGACGCACCGCTCCTCTTGTCTACTGTCCCCCCCAGCACACATTCCCTTTTTTCCCGTTTTAGAGGGAGGCCACAAGGCCCAGGACCGCCTGAAGTCCAACCCTTCAGCCCGGTGGCGGCCGGCTGTCCCGGACAGACCGGCGGGCAGCCGGGCCAGCCCAGCCCAGCCCGGCGGCCTCACCTGAAGGGCGGCACCCGCGCCCCGCCCGGCGCCCGCAGCTCCCGCTCCACCTGCTCCCGGCTGGAGCCCAGGTGCGCAACCAGGAGGTCGATCCGCCCGATGTGGTAGAGCAGCTCCCTGAGGAAGGCCAGGTTCCCCGCCTCCAGCAAGCAGCTCTCCTGCAGCGCTTCGAACAAGTCGTACGGGCTCCGCACGGCCTCCAGCTTCCTCCCGAGGAGGTGGTCCCGGCTGAGGAACTTGAGCGCCGCCAGCTCGGCCCGGTCCAGCTCGTCGCTGACGGCCAGCAGCAGCCCCCGCGGCAGCTCCATGGCCGGGCCGCAGCGGCGCAGCTCGGCGGGCGGGGCGCGACCCGGGGCGGCGCTTCCCGCCATTTAAACTTCCGGAGCGAAAACCCCGCACTTCCTTGGGGGAGCGGCGTGTTTCGGCCGTGTCTGTTCACGATTCCGCCCGTTCCTGAGCAAACCGAACCAGTGCGGATGCAAAGCCTTCCCTCTGCCCGAGCCTTTCCTGCCGAGAGTCGCCTCTCGCTGGTTGCCAGGCCAAACCACTGCGATTTTAATACAAGGAGACAGAAGCTTTTATAACATCACTGATTCGCCTTCCTCCTTGCGAGCCTTCTGGGCTGCTCTCAGATGAGGTAGCACGCTCCCTGCAGGTGTTCGGCCCCTGGCAGCCACCAGCCATGGAAAACGGCTCCCTTCCCGGCCGCCCCACATCTACTGAAGACAGTTCTACAACAGGAGCAGTCACTGCGGCGTGGTGAAGGGCCCTGGGATGCTGCACCCCCTCCACCTTCTGGTGCAGCACCATGGCTAGATGGTATTTCACTATTTCACAACAGGAGGGGAGAGATTCTACCAACTGGAATTTCATCCTTCTGAAAATGAACCTGAACACCTTAATGTTTGCTTTGAGCCAGAGAGCAACCCTCGGCACATCCATACTGTCCAATAAAAAACCAATGTTCTTGCTAAACACTGATTTGAAGCCAGCATACCTTTCTTTACCAAAAATCCAGTAAAAAACACTTTAACAATATATTACAAAGAAATCTGTACATTGTTATCCTGGAAGTGCCTTATCAATGTTCAAGATCCTATGCAAGATATTTGGTTACTATATGCATGGCAAATTGGGTCAAAGATGGAAGGAATCAAAAAAGCAAGGCACTTTTAACAGGTCATAAACTGACCTCTCCTCAAGACATGTTAGAACAAGATCTTCCTATCTTGTTCTAAGGATGCATGTATCCATCTTTGCACTCACGTACCTAGACAAGTCAGGCCTAAACACAAAGTGGCTACAAATATAAGACTAATAGAACGGCCAAGATCAGGAGATGTGTCCAGGATAGCATTCCACCTAGCTAGGAATGTATGGTTGGCATCCACAAGAGCCAGCCACATTTGTGGCCTGGGGAGTTCCGGTGGCTGTCAATAACAGAACAGAGTGACAAGCAAAGGCACACTTACAGAAAGAACACTCAGAAATTAATGAATTCTGTAAAATCTCACTTATATTTCTTAGCATATTGCAAAGGAGTGATTGCAGATTAAACATGTCATTCTCTGTTCATCATTTGAAATATCTCTAGTTGAAAAGAGGCAGATTTGAAAAATTTCTCAGAGAATGTGCCCATGTTTTTTAGGGGTCAGAATAAAAAGGCTGAACACCCAACACTGCTGTTAAACTGAAAGAATAGGTAGCATATGTGAATGACTAGGCAAGGACTCATGCCCCTGGACAGCATTATTTCTTCTTTAGCTAACAGTCCTCCCCAACTCTTATATATAAGTGTTTTCCTTTTCAAATAGCACCACTCTGATCTTGCCTGCTCTCAGTTTAAGTCTGCAGGACTTCAACTCACCAGCTTTTCTTTCCTACCAGACTTATGGCTCCACATTCTGGTGGCAGTGCTTCTGCTGTCTGAAAACAAAATAGAATCAAGTGCCAGGCTTTTGACTGGATTTGGCCTCCCAGCCATGAGCTGGGAGGAAAGAAAACACACAGTAAAAAACAAAGCTGAGGGCCTTCACAGAGAAAAGGTAATTGCCCTTCACTTGTCTAGCATGTACTAGAGAGAAAAGTCAGGAAATTGCAGAACCAACTTCCTTCTTACCATTAAGCCCTGTGGGTGGCACATAAATCCATGCAAAAACCCACCAGCCACACTTTGCTCAGAACTGCAAAACTCAAAGAAATGTGTTTTCTCCTTGCCTGATTGCTGCATGACTTACATATAAATGCACAGTATGGCTGTTCTGTGATTCTTTAAAGGATTTTGATGGCGTTTTCTCTTCCTCCTAGTAGGTTTTCATCCACAAGTGATCATGGTAAACTATGGAGGTAGCTGGAATTTATTAGGCAGAACAAAATACCAAATCAACTTAAATCACAGGAAGTGACTGATCAGCACCCTCTGTACAGCCCCGTGCCTGTCCCCCCTCCTCCAGTGGAGAACAGCTCAGAGGAGAAGGACAAAATCCACACCCTCTCAGGGAAAAACAGATAATAAAGAAAGTCCAACTTACCTCAACACCAGAATTGGAGAGTGACCTTACTTTTAGAGGAGACATTTGCACCTGTGGATCATCAGGTACCCCAAGACAATTAACAAGGAATAATGTCTTCCTGAGCAAGCCAGACCACCATGGAAGGTGTGGATATGTGGCCCACCCCAACCCAACACAGAAGTATAAAACCTGGACAACTCATAAAACATTTAAGCTTTGAAAAGAACAATGGGCTTGAGCTGGCTTCTACCCATGTTCCACCATGACTGCGAATGTCCAGGGTCATGACAGATAGCATACCTATGTACGTGTCTTGCCCTACCAAATCAAAATTCTGTGTATTCCCAAAGATACAAAATTTGATATCCAAATTTGGTACATTTGATATCCAATTCCTTCTCATGTAAAATAGCTGAAATAACTTGGTGTGAGTGTATTGAACTCTGACATGGAAATATGAGAAACAAATGCTGCAGATGTGCAACTTCACTTCTACAGCAGCTGCCACCTTCCAGCAAGTTTCTCACAGAGGAAGCAGTTACTGAATGGCTCTACTGGCACCAGCTGCCATTATCATGACAGTCCTGAACTTATTCTTTCCTATGGTCTCTCCAGCTGCTGCCCCTCAGGGTGGCTGCCAACAAACAGTGCAACAAGAGCAAAATTACTTCTGTGCAGTAGAAGTGTTTGTCATGCTGACTGTCCCTCAGAAAGCTCATCCAAGAGAGGAACACACCACAAACTGAGGTGATATAAAAACCAAGAGAATTTATTCTAACAGAAACATGATTACAGAGTTCCTTCCAGTATTCCACAATCATTCAAAACACACTGTGCCCTGAGAGCTCTGAGAAATAGCAAAGTGAGAACATTCAATATTAAAAAAGTTACTCAGATGGGCTTATTATTCAAGTAAATGATTGACATAAAGCAAACAAAATATTTAGAAGAAAAGAACCAAACTAACATAATAATGGGGTTTTGGTCCTTCTGGAGTAGGATGTTATTTTCCATGAACATTTATATCTTCCAAAGACAGACAATGATTCACCTCTGGGTAAGGCAGTTACCCAGCTGCTTGGGAATGCATCTGGCTTTCTGAATTTGTTCTGTTTTTGCAGATTTTAGGACTTAACTCAGACACAAATGAGACCTCACTGACATTTCCAATAACTTTCACAGTACTACTTGAAAGTCCTTTTGCACTTGAAACCCAGACTGAACATATTCCACTGCTTCTGCAAGATAAAAACCCTGATGGTCTCTAGTTTCCTACAGCCTTACCCAACTGACACAGATCCAGGTGTTGGAAGACTGATTCAATATGGAAGTTGGAAAATTTAGGTCCTATGCCTCCTTAAAGGGCTGGGGCTACTCCAGACAGTTTCTCATGTAAATTCTCTTCCCTGTCAAAGCCCAGATGTCATTCGTAACCGCATGTATTCTTACTTGTCTGCTTTTCATTGTGGAACTTCAAAGATCAGTTTCTTCAGTAGTGTTGATGTTATCTTTGGCATCTGCTTAGATCCTCCTAATTCTTTTCTTGCCACTGCATTGTTCACTTCTGTCAGGATGGATGCGAGATCAAAGCGCCTTGAACAAAAATGAAGAGAGGTTACATTGAAACACATGGTACTTGCAGCTCGGCCAAGAAGGTGATGTGTGTTTGCCCCAATAAAGTGGTATCCCAGGGAAGGCTGGTATCTTCCTCACCCTATTGCCACTGAAATTGCACATTCCATTGAATAACCACAGAATTCAGTGCGTTTGGAGGAAATAAAAGCAACCTCCATGTAGCATTGCTCTGGCCACAGCCAGAAGAGGTCGCCAAGATGAAACAAACCTATACATTCTCCACCTCTTCTTCTGGACGCCATATTTTCTAAATGAAGTTTATGAGGGGGATAGGTGGGAGGCAACAATGAAAATTATGCCTGCACAACACCTGGGGGGTTCTGTCTTTGTAATCACTCAACAATTTCACCCCTAATCAGGTGTCACTGGAAGAAAAAAAAATTATCAGTCAAAAATGTTAAAAAATGCACACACACTTGTTTGTGTGTAACATTGCAGCATTACAACATGGTTTTGGCACAAGAAAACCAGGGGAAGTCACTTATACTTTGGCTTATCTGTAGAAGACTAACAGTGCCCAATTTCAAAATAAATACTGTTCTCCACTGTCCTGAATGGGAAAAGCATTAATTGCACAAATGCAAACCACTGTGTTTCAGCACAACATGCTTAAGTATGCACATCTGCAAAACTCTAAATGTACAATAATTAGAAATAGTACTTACCGTGGGCAAAGCAACTTCATCTTCTCACAGAGGGATTGAATGTAAACACTGCCAGTCTCACAACTGCGGTAGGCCAAGCAGTCCTCCACTGTAGCCATGCCAATCAGAATATCAGCCTTATCAGGAATGGAAGTCAAAGGACTAGCATCCACCTCAAGCTGTCCAGAAGAGTCTGATTCTACTGCAACAGCCGGATGACGTTCAGAGCCTTGGCAAGCCTGGATGATAAACACCTTGGGTTTGCCAGCAAGAGAAGGACAATTAGTTCCAGTGAAGCAGGAGACTAAATCGTCAATGTTTACGCACTTATCATCAACACCTTTTATTTTGTATTTTTCACCATGGGAGAAAATGAAGCAAACAAAGCAGTCCATATTTCTATGATCTTTCTTGCTGTATTCTTTAACTGTCTCATATATTTTTTTTCCTTCTAGATCCATGTACTCAGCTGTCTCAAACTGAAGCCACGTAAAGACCCTCTTCACAGCCTCTGGAGGAAAAAATCATAAGGAACATAAACAGTGACAAGGAAGATGCTGAAACATCAGTGTCTGTGTAGTAGATCAGATACTAGCAGAAGTGTTCAGATCCTACCAGTAAAATCACCTGACTGCCTCTTAGCCTGCCAGATCCTATTAGAAAAACCCAAATGCCTAATTTGCCTAATTTTTTTTTTTTTTTTAACACAACTGGGTTAAGTATCATGCTGTCTAAAACAAAAACAGGTTTCAGATTCTATGTTGTATTGGTACAAATTAGTGAAGCTTACTGTGTTAAACCAAGCTTTGACTATGCATTGCATAGTAGTCTCAGATTCCTAAGAACAGCACTTGGCAAGTTAAAGTGCCACCTCTTCAGAATGACAAATTCTGCCACTCTTAAATGAAGTAGGACACTCATTGTGATGGGATGGTAGATGCAGCAAGAAGGGAATCAGAGTAACCTGCTCACAAATGCTATGAAGGCTTCTCAGTGGTGAGAAGTGGTAGCCTAATTTTTGTGTGGACAGAGAGGAACTAGCTAGTAAGAAAGCAGCTTGTAAATGGCCCAGATGGAGTTAAAATATCTGTGACATCTCCTTTCAGGAATCTGACTTTACTTTTTAACTTTTGTTTATCTTAAATATGATTGCAGAAATATAGGCTTTAAGGAAAGTTACAGAGCATTTATTTGAGCATTGAAGAGAATTTGAGGACTTAAAATATTTTTCCATGATAGGTAAGAACTGAAAACAATCAAAAATTGGAAATGTGTAATAATGATCACTTTTTCTCTAGTTGTACATACAACCAATTAAGAAAATGCCTTTTTCCTAGAACAAAAAGTAGATCCTTCTTTAAGCCATCAGCTAAATGTTGGAAGTGACATATTTCCTATTGGCACAGTGACTGTCACTCCAGTTTCTGGAGGCCAAGGAGTATCATGGACATGATTCTTCTTCACAGCAAAAATTAGATAATTGTTTTTGAGAATTATCAGAGAAAAAAACCCAAACCAGTAATTTGATTTAAAAAGTACTTACCTCCATCTTGCAATGTTCCCTCTCTATTGTAATTTGGATTTTTAAAAATGTGGTTGTTAATAATTAAACAGTAACCATGGGGGTTATTTTTCATCTTATATAACATCCCATGCTGCAGAAACAAAAAAAAAAAACACAAACAAAAACCAACCAAAACAAGTAGGAAAGCAGAGCTAAGCATTCAAAAGAGAAATACACTATATACAGATTGCTGGTCCATCATTATCTAAGCACAAAAGAAAATCGCAAAGGCCAAGAAACAAGAAAGGAAAAGCCTAAGGATACAATTTAGCTACAGAGGAGAGGAATCTGCATTGTCTCCCTGAACCCCTCCTCCTCTCTCTCCGGTCAGGATATGACTTTAACATGGGAGAAAAGATCCAGAAAAATAAATTTGTATATGCATAGGAAATGTTCCTGCACCCCACCATTTCCTCTCAGGGTCCTTGTGAAATTCCAGTGAGGTAGGGGGTTCTGCTAGTCCCTTCACACCTGTCTAGGAGTATCCTGGCCAGGACTTTAATGTTCCAGTCTCCATTATCATTATGATTGGTTTCTTCACTCAACTGTTTGTTCATGTCTTGATTAAAAGGTTGCTGACATCCAGGTCCCCACAAAGAAGGCTCAGTCTTGTTTGGAAAACAGGAATTGTTCCAAGGCCTATTCCTCTATCTTGGCTGTTCCACCTACTTAGTGTTATGAATTTTTGCTCCCTCTCCCAGGAGATGGATAAATACTTTAAAGGTACACTTGAGGTATTTCTCACCTGTTTTGTTGCCTCCCCCTCTGCTCCTTGTTCCTCTGGATGTGCAGACACACACACAGGATAGCGGACTTCTTCCCTAGAATAATTTTCTAAGAAGAAGAAGATAAACAAAACATTTTAAAACCACAAGGATAAATCTTACACTCTGCATATTTCAACACTCAAAAAGCCAGAACAGGGAGTGAGGTGGAGAGGGTTTTCCCACCAGTGAGACACCAGCATTTTGTAGAACTGGGCCAAGCTTAGCTTCAGTTTCACAGACTGCTGGTTGTGATAGAAGCCATGCAGGGATTTGCTCCATTGCTCCTCTCCTCCTCTGCTCTTTTACTGGTAGCAAGATACAGATAATAAAAGGCTAAATGTGAGTAGTCATCCCAGGCAAGCCATTCGCCAGCCTCTCAACTGTGGGATATATAAATGAAAGAGGAGATCCACTTTTGTACAATAGTACTTTTGTACAAAATGCTGGTCCATTCACTTCTGAGGCTACTGTCCCTTCTCCAGAGAACTTTACTGTGTGAGTGGATGCAAGGATGCAAAATACCAGCATAATGAAAGAGCTCCTCAGAGCACTTATTTCAATACAACTTTCTGAAAAAAAAGTTAAGAAATCATCAAATCCATGACTCTTAACGAAGGAAACAAAATCACAGTACTCATTTTACAAATTACAAAAATGTTTAAATGAAATTTAATTGTCAGGGCAACAAGCTCTACACAACATTCTTTTTTCCTACTTACCAAGAGGACAAAATAATAACAATACTACTAGAAAGCCATTCTCCAACACAGGACTTGCTTGGCAATAGCCTCCCTTGACAATTATCTTCTGTTCTTTAGAGACACCAGCAGAGGACAGCAGCACAAAAACTGCTAGGCAGGGAGAACTATTTGGTAGCTCTGCAGGGTACTGCATGGACTGTTTAAATGTATCTGAGGGAACTCATGGCCTGAGTTGTTCAGGAGGAAGTTGTTATTGACTGAGACATCCTGTTTCCCAAAGGAACACCCGGCTGTGCTGCTGTGCTGCCAGAAAGCACCACCTCAGCTGCAACAGCCGGCATATAATGAAGTCCTTAAAATTTCTCAGCTGATTACAGAAAGTTACACTTTAGCCAAATGACTGGTTTTCAGGGCCTTCCCTTTGACTAAGAGCAAGGGGCCTGGCTAAGAGAAGATAGTGCTGACATCTTGTAACACAAGTTTGTCACTTCCTGTCTCTTGCAGTGACTTGGACGTTATACTGGTCCAAAACCAGCACCAAACTTTTTCCCAAACAGATAAATTGCATTTAAGACAAAGAGAAGGCAGAAGAAGGCCACTTACAAGAGACAGAACATAATTCAAGGATAGATACAAGAATCCATGATGGGAAGTAGCAGAAAACTTCAGAAGTCAGACTTCTCCAGAGCTGTTCTGCCTGTCCTAGGGTACCATAAGGTCTCTCCCTTATCACTGGACTTCTAAGCTGCCAAGGATGAAGCCAAAAAAAACCACAAAAGACCCAGATCTGTTCTTAAACAGCTTAAATAAATTTACCTTTTTCTTTTTCTTCATAGGCATCAATTTTTTTCTTTATGTCAGCTCTAAATCTCTTTAATATATCTTTCAGCATTGTCATGTTATCTTCTTTAATTATCCCTTTTAATTCCATTTCCAGAAAGACCTGCAACATTGACTGGTAAAACAAAAACACATAACCCAAACTCATCCAGTGACCTTTGATAACCGCAGAATCAGGCAGCTCTGCAACAGGGCAGAAGACAACATCCTCATTCCCAGAGACTGACCACCTAAAGACTTATTACTTTTTCCTCCAAAACTCATTAAAGCAAGAGTCAAGATGCAATGCAACTGAATAAACCCATCATCACTAAGGTTAAACCAGGACAATTAGAAATTGCCTATAACTAGGCTATCCTGCTTTGTTTCAGCAGTACAAAGCACTGATGAGGATAATATAACATCCTGTAGTGCATTTCTGTTTTGATGAAGTGCAGCTAAGTCCTTTAGCTATGCCATTTTCCATATTCTGTCACAGAAAAGCTGTTCAGCACTAATTTTGTTTATTAAAGCTCAATTGTCCACCAAGTTGGAGATAAATCAGCTAATTTTCCTCTATGTGCCACAATACAAATAGGACTTTTAAGGAAGGTTCTTAATAATATTAAGCATTTTTATAACACAGCTCATTACAAATATTAAACTAGCTCACCCAACCTCTTAATACTTTTGGGGGAAAGTTAACAATATGTTGTTACTCCAAATTATAATAAAGAAGAAAATTTACCCTTGACACACAAAAAATTATGGTTCAACTCACATTAAAACTCAATTTTCTGTCTCCAAAATATTGTTTTCCTTTAGCAAACATCACTCTTCTTAGGTATAGCTTATGTCTTATAAAGACATTTGTCTTATAAATGCCAAGCAAAGATTTAAGGAAGAGTGTGATGGATTTTACAAGAAAATAAGATTAAAGAGACAGGTCGTGGAGAGAAAATAGAATCAGGAGAGCAAAAAAGGCAAAGATACAATGAAAAAAAAAAAATCCATTCTTTCACACAGCAGCTATTAGTTAACATCAAAATTCTTTCAAACTAGATTTTCATGACAGCAGACTGCTTTGTCTTTCCTCCCTTCTTACAAGAACTAGAGGACTCTGAACTAGCCTTGCAAAAAACTTCTCAAGACCACTTTTCATACAGCATTTTCCTGGAGCTTGTTTTTTGGTAATTGTTTTTGGAGCAGGAACTTCACACTTCTGACATCTTCTGAAGTCAAGTCTTCTGCAATTCCATACAGCAGTTGCCTGACAATAAACAATAGAGAGACCTTCAAGAAAGAAGTAAACACCTCAATTAAACATTTGAACTGCAAAATTTAAAACTCACAATGGCAGGAATTCACGTGTAATAAACACATGTATGCTGGGATATTCACAAGACAACAGTGCAGACAGAAAAGAGAATTGGCACCGAACTGTTAACACTGGGCATGCTCCTGTGTTTACCTGTAAGCTGACACCTGTGCCCTGCCCGGGAGCTGCAGCTCTCTCTCCATCTCCTCGCGGCTGCAGCCCAGGGGGGTAGCCAGGAGGTCGATCCGATGGATCCGGTAGAGCAGCTCCTTCAGGAAGAACAGGTTCCCTGCCCCGATCATGTCTTTCTCCTGCAGCACTTCAAAGAAGGCCTTGGGCTCATGGATGGCTTCCAACTTCCTCCTGGGGACATGGTCCAGGCTGAGGAATTTAAGAGCTGACAGTTCCTCTGTCACCAAAGCCTCAGAAACTTCAAAAAGCAGTTTGCGGAAATCTGTACTCATTTCACATCAGGATTTGGATCTAAACACAAACAGCAGTTGATTTCATTTGTCAGTAAGACTAGTGCAACAACATGATTTATATAAGAGGTATCACATCGTGTAGAATAGCCCAAAATACATGCAATCAGAAGTATTTAAATAGAGAGAGGCTGTCTTGCTATCATAGCTTTGATGCTTAACTCCTTCAGTTTTCTGGACTTAACAAAGGATATGTAACCTCTCACTACTAAGTGACATTAGGAGAGAAAGTGATAGATTATTCTTGCTTCCTATGGTGTGTCTAGACAGTGGGAAGTATCAACGTACAGGATGTACAACCCTGGCAGGCAGCTGCTTGTTTTCTTTGAGTTTGGGTTTTTTTGAAGTTTGATACCATTTGGGAGAAATAGCTACTTGCCAGTCTGAAATATAGACTGTGTAATAAATAAGACTGCCAATTTTTACACCATAACAGGACTGAGAGTCCACATGAGTATAGCTACTCTAAGCTATCTGGCTTCTCCTTTCTTTTTATACTGCTTCTGGCCAGCATACCCAAAGCACCTCCTCCTGTTTTGGTTTATCTGTATCAAGTAAAAGTCACTTCCCAGCTCTCAAATAATTTATAACATTAAAAGCAAATATAGATCATGTCAACCCTCTTAAAAAGGCCAGAAGAATTCTTATCAAACTATCTCTGTTTCACTGAGCATGGAATACCACCTCCCTTCTTCTCTACTTTCTCCATCAGCTTTAGAAATATTTAACTAGGCTTACAGATTCAATTTTTGAGCACAAAGGGAAGTTAGAAAATACCAAGCCTTCCAGCTATCCCCCCTGACACTTAAGGGACCTGCCTCCACTGATGTGACAACCCATGGGCATGTTGGTGTCTGTTATAAACTCTTGTCAAACTGAACAAAGACACCGGACGTGGCAGGAGCTCTCATTGTTTGACTGTACATTTTCTTAACTGCGGCAACCAGCCCAATATTTAAACTCAAAAGGTATTGTTTAACCTGCCCTTAAATTTATACAATACACTCTCACAAGAGGGGAGGCTAACAAGCCCTCAATTTTGAACAGTACACTTCACAACTCCCAGAACAAACTCCTCAAAAGGTGCTGGCTCCCGAGCCACAAAAATCTCCACAAAAAAACTTCAGGATGGAATATGGGGTAAAATATTCTAACTCTGCGAGCCAAGAAAGATAAGAGAGCAAAGGAGATCTCAGTCCCTAGATTCTGTGTGGATGCTGCCACATGGATAGTCTGGAGATGGAGAGAGAGCAGAGAGGGCATAAAGGGGGGTGGGGGCGTGTGCCCAACCTGCCCGACCTGTGTCCTGCTGGGGTTCCCCGGTGCGTGCCCGTTATCTAAAGGAGCCTCGCGTGTTCTGCTGGCGTGTGCACAGCCAGCCTTTTCCCTGAAGTGAGGCGGGCTGCGGGATGGAGCACGAGTCACAGGGTGGAGCAGGAAGTCGGCTCAGCACGGCGCTGCCCCACTGCCTCAGGACGTTCTCCCTTGATCACACCTCTCCTTAGCAATGCGCAGAATGCTGGAGACAAATCAGTCTACAGCTGGCACTTAAAGGACCTGTCTTCACTTCCTACTAGTTAGAGACCCGTTTGCCACTTGACTTTCTCTGCCCTAGGTGTCAGACACCTGGGAATCTCTGAAGAAAAACTATATAAACGCATTCAGAAGAGGTCTCTTGTCTTATAAACACTGGCAGTGGGAGACAGAAAAGTCGACGATGAAAAAAGAGACGTTCCAACTCCTACACTACTGGAATACTGCAATCCATTTTACTTATTGCTCCTGCAAATGTTTCAATAAAAAGGTAGCCAAGCTGGAATCTAGAAATAATAATTAGTAGACAATTGTATTCTGCTCTCCTCCAAGGACCACTCTACAGCAAAGGAGCTTTTTGTGGCATGCCCTTGCTCAGCATTGTGTGGGTTAGCAAGAGTGAATGTACAACCGAATCTAGTAAATGTACAACTGAATCTTAAACCTTTGCATTTCAACTTAACTGATAAAACAGTGAAACACAAGACACAGCACAAACAATTTGTGTTCTGCCCCAAAATACTGTTTTCTTTAAATCCACTCAGACCAAATCAGCCCATATAAACTAGTAGTATCTGAATGTACTTAACCTCAATGACTACCTGATTTTATATTTCTATAACCACACAGGAAAGAATATTTTTCTTGGTAGGTAGTTATGAAGTTATCTTCTTTCTCACATAAATCATGCCTTTCATTTAAGATACAAGAGATACTGCTTATAGAAGCAATTCTTTCTTGTAAAGAGAATTTTCATTTTATTTCTCAAAGGCTCTAAGTTTCAAACCCATCAAATAATTGCAGTTAGAAGAGATGTGCTACCTATATGTTACATTTAAACATGTCTGTAATTACAGGGAGCACAATTAAGACAATATTTAACCGCCACTGTCTTTTTCTCACAGTTTGCTAACTTAAAGACACAACTGATATGAGTAAAAATACTATTAATTGCAGTAGTAATTTTAAATCACTTACATGGGAGAACAACTCTGAAGAAAGTGAGACAGCCAGTTTCTAAAGTTCCAGGAAAGGTCTGCCTTTTTTACAATACAGTATTGTCACAGACTTCCAAGAAATATGTTACAATGGAATAAAATGCTAACAAAGCAGGAGATCCCTACTTCAGCTACTTCCATTTTCAGAGAACTGATTATTACAGAACTTGTGAGAAAAAAATGGTAAACAAGCCATGAAGTAATCAGGTTTTGCTCTGGAGCATACCTAGTGCTTTCTAGCATAGAGCACAGCTCAAGCACTTTTGCTTTCATACACAAATTCTAATTAAAAAACAGTGAGAGAAGGCCAAATCTACATATTTTCATTTAAAATATCTCAGTCCCATTGCCCTGCTGTGTCACCAGATCTGCCATGACTTACCCCCTTTCTCTGAAGTCCCTCGCCAACTCACCCCAGTTTATTTTTAACAGGAAGATATTTTTTAAATTTATAAAAAAGCCAACTATTAGCACCAAATTCCATAGCAGCACTCACTAAACCCAGGGAAATCAACAACTGAACATTATTCTGAAATTATTTATGTAATATACTTCCCCATTTAGAGGAGAATTTGAACATAATTAACTTCTTACATATTTGTTCTCTTTAAAGTAAAGGACTTAGCCTTCAATGGAAAGGTTCCCGGCATGCAAGTCGCTGGCATTTTCCACGCAGGAGGAAATAAAACAGCACTCAGAATGGCTACCAGACTCTCAGCAGACCCTCATGGCAGCATTATGAAGAGAATTAGAGTGCTGACATTTGTTAAAATTTTGCAATGAAAACAGTCATTCATGGATTTCAACCTATCTATCTTTACAAACTCAAAACTATATCATACCTGTTGATAGATAGAATGAGGCATACAAATTCCTTCCAAAAGGCACACTCTAGTAACAGATCAGAAAACCTTGTTTCACTGGAAGGAATCGCACTATCATCCAAAGGGCGGGAACAGCACAGAGGAACACCACAAGGACTCTTTCATCTTCAGGTCCAAAATGTTTGTCTCCACGTCATTCCAAGTCTCAGCATCTTTCCCTCTTTAATTTCTTCTGTGTCTTACCTGAACCAAGACTTCCGTTGCAGTCTGAAAGAGCCACCGTGCCGTGATATGCACTATGACAAAATAACAATGGCTTCTCCTCTCAATCAGCAGTTTGAAGGTCCACCCCTTTGGCACTATTAGTTTCACTTTTGATTTCTTCCTCTCTCACCCTTCCTGGAAATGTTACTCTTAAATTATTTTCCTCATTTCCCTCGGCTCCCCTACTCCCTGGTTTCCTCCAGAGCCGTCCCATAGAAAGGGTGATCTTGAGGAAGAAAAACTGCTGCAGCTCCTGCCAGGTCAGCAACTGTAGCGACTGTCGCCTGCATTGGCACAAGGCGGGACACACAGCTCTTGCACAACAATGACACGAGGGACAGGATACCATTACCACTTTAATGACCTTGCCAAGATAGCAACTTCCCTAGAAGACTTTTTACGCTACTTCCACTTGAATCTTTCTATCCAGGGGCTGCACAAGACCCAACCCTTCCTTAATTCTGTAGGTGGAGAGTGCACACATGCGTGGGTCTCTATGCTACCAGTAAGCCTCAACAGCAACCAACCACATTTGTTTGTTTGTGTTGTGACCAGTTTCCTTCTGGCACAGCTCTGTATCACTGCAGTCACAGGAAAGGTGTACAGTGTGGACAGCAAAGACTGATGAATGCCTGACTTGCACAATACCAACCCACTCTCCCTAAGTTTCAAACTCCCATCTCATAACACGCTGCAGGAGATCACACAGAAATGCCAAAGTGGCTGGATGGCAGCTGCAGCTCCAGTTCCAGCTTGCCCTACTTTGGGCTGGTGCTGACAAGTACCACTGCATACACCCAGGGATTACACTATGCAGCCACATAAACACAGCCCTTGACACACAAAAAGTGAAATACTCACTAAATAGTCCAAATCAGGGTAGTTTAAACTTTGCTTAAACAAATTTCTTATGAGCAAGGGAGACTTTACCAGTCTTTCCCACTTCACAAGGGTGGATCCCCCCCCGCCCCGGAACTCAAGGCTTAGTAAGATTACACTCTTCTGATTGCCCTTACCTGCTTATGATTTCACTGGAGATTACACAGCGATTACACAGGCAGAAGTTTCTACAGAAAAAGCAAGAGAGCATGATGACATTCCTTGTCTACCAAACCAAAAATGAAAACAAGATCCCACAAAACAAAGTCAATTTACTCCAGACTGATAAAAATTTATTTGTTTCCTAAACACACAAAATGAGTGCATCAGGTCTGAACAATAACTGCAAGCCAGAAACATCACAGTTCCATCCCAATGCTGTATATTCCCCTAAGGACAAAACATTTTTCTTATCTGTGGCATAAATGTGACTTCAAGTGTGGCAGCCACTCTAATTCAAAAGACTTAAAATGCAACAGGTATTAAAATGCAATACCACTTCATTATCATAAAGGGACCATCATATTTTGGAAAACTGGCTGCATTTCAATGCTCTGTATGATGCAAAACTCCCCTCCTGAAAATAGTGCAAGCTAGAAATTGCACCCAATAGCACGAGACAGTACTCTTTCCTATCTTCACCTGAAGGTATTGCTAATCATGTAACAATGAATATTTTGATGAAGTTAGTGAAAAATGCTAATCACTTGGTTTTTAACATTTTAAAAGTTTAATAATAATAAAATGGTTATAAAAATAATAATACAATTATGGATGTCCGGATGCTCTCGGACACTAAGTCAAGAAAAGCATGACTTGTGAACAAAGGAATCGCCCTTAAAACAATACACTTGTTGCATATTCATATATCCTTCATAGTTATGCATATATTCTATTTAAAACAAGAAACTCTGTCTGTTGTATGTCAACTGTTCCTTTAATCTCCATGGCACCTTTGAGTCTGAGCAAGGCCTGAAGAAATTAGCTTCTTCTGACAAGAAGCCATAAATTCCTCTCCTTTGGAAGATTTAGTGTTCTTCTCATTCCTAAAAAAAAACTTCCCCCACATACATAGTCTCTATTTTAACATTATTTTGGAACCTAAAACTATATTTAACACACTATTTCAGAGAATTAATACAGCATAACTTTCTAACGTTACACATATAATATTAATTGTAATATTTGCAAAAAGCCAATAATAAATTATGCATTTTTCATAAAGTTTAATGTCGGCTTAAACCCTAAAGCAGTTAAAACCTCACTGATTCATGAAGTCCAACAAAGTGCAGGAATCAGTCAAAAACAAGGATAAATCCTTACCCCAGTAGAGAATTTTTATTTCACCAAGCTCTTAAAAAGTATGAATTTAATGCAATAAACATTAAACAGGAAAGACACAGGCATCTGTAATAAGTGTTCATAACAAAACAACATGGCATTATTTCAGTTAAATCACAAAATTCTGTCAGCAGCTTAGTCCACAGAAGCCTTCACAAACTGGCTGCGTTTAAAATGTTAAACCAACAAATTATAATTAAAAAATGTAATGCATAACAAAGTTAATCTGACCGGTGTATTTCACAGCATGCAAATCTTTCACCATAAATTTTCTCAGAAGTGATGGGGAAATAACAGTTCACAAGGTTTCACAGAGGGAATAATAAGCAGCATTTTGGCTTTACTCCATTTTGGAAAACTTCATTGTACATGAAGCTAGCCATTTGAGGAAACTGGAAGAAATTGCTGATTTCAGTTGGAAACTAGTTCTTTATTAAGTTAAATGTAATTTTCATTAGAGATTGAAGAAATCCTTTTCCACTTACTACCTAAGGCTTTGTCTCTTCATTCCCACTTTTTTCTCTCAATGAACATAACTAGTGGATTTAGAAACAGGATTTAAAATTGTTAGCCTGCAAAATAAAATATGATGAGTCTAAACCAGACCATTAGCAATCCTGGTTTAAATGAAAGCTTACATGCAATCCCTATGCAGCGAGGAAAAACCTATTGTATCTGCAGCCTGTGCAGGTACAAAAATGTTTAACATGAGTTAAACAGTGTGGTTTTTCCAACACTGATAATTCTGAATATAGAGATAATGTAAATAGCTGGCACACTGATTGTTTTAATTGTGTCTCCTCCAGTTTCCCAGTTTGTTTGACAAAAAATTTATAAGGCCTTGCATCAAAGCTAACAGATTATCAGGGTTTTGGCTGTCTTAAAACAGATAGTGTGATGAACTGCATTTAAATGAGATGACAAAATGATATGTATTAAAAGCACTGATGTTGTTCTGAAGGAGGAGGGGACATTGGTATTGGGAATATAAATTTTCTTCTTAAGGTATATGCTGGTTGAGGCATTTGCTTCTTTTCCCCTGAAGGGCTCTCACGTCTGGCCACATCTTCATTAACTTGTGTAAGAATTGACAAAATATCTTCACCCCTACAGCCAGAAGGACAGCAAAAAAAATTAGTTATTAGTGAGCAGATGGCAATCCACTTAACATTTCCCTGATCAGCTAGAAGATAGACTACAAACATTTAAAACACAAAAAAGAAAACATACTTTTCTCCAAATTTCTCTTTTGTCCTTATTTGAATCATATTAAAACCGAAAGACTGGGTTGCTTAATTTAACTAATAAAGAAAAATAGTCAAATAAAATATTTTAACCTATCACTCAATAAACTGTGCTGTCTTAGATTATAAATGTGAGGTTTGAGTGTTTTTTCACAATAAACTTCACACTCTATAGATTACATGTATGGTACTAGCAGAATTAATGTAAATTGATCAACGTAAAATCATCACTTTAACTAATTCCATCCACCTTAGAACATGGGTGGGTGTTCCTAGATGAACGGCCTTTGGAGAAGAAAAATTTAATCAGAGCACTACACCAAGTATTTACCTTGGTACCAACAATTGTAGCTTGCTGCAGAGGGCCTGAATATACCAACTGCCCTCTTGAACGTGCCGGAAAGAGACACATCCATCAACTGTGGCCATGCCTAGGAGGAAATCAGCCTCCTCGGGAATACTTTCAGAAAGAGAAACTCTCTCTTGCATGGAAGACAAGTCAGGAGTTGGTCCATCACTATAAACATAGACAGGATCTTGTATCTTGTCACCCTGGCATGCTTGGATAAAGAAGAGTTTGGGTTTTGCAGCCAGCTGGGGACATTGTTTGGCAGTGAAGTGGGACATAAGCATGCGGATTGACACAGGTCTGTAATCTGTCCCAAAGATTGCTCCTGACTTTCCATGAGATAGAATACAACATATAAAACAGTTCCTGTCTTTGTGATCTTGCTCATGCTGCCAAGTTTCCATGAGATTTATTATCTCTCCAGATGTCAGATTTGTGCGAGTCCTCACATCCAGACCAAGCCATGTGAACACTCTCTCCAGTTGCTCTGTAAATAAATGAAAAATAAAAGGAAAACTCGAGGCAAGAGAAAAACTTTTTATGAAGACACCATGCAAGCTAATCTGCGAGGGGGAAAGACCTTACACCCTGACACTTCTGCAGATTCATTCTCATACTAGTAACAACTAAAGGTTAACTGGAATAAAAAAAGATGGCATTAGCTCAGAGTTCCTGGATTTTTCTAAGCAAGCTCCAGAAATTAGTGCATACACTGTCATTGTTAGTGAGCACACAAATGACACCTGAAAACACAAAGAATCTGCTCTTCCCCAGTTTCAGGAAAGATCTTTCAAAATCTTCCTCACATCATTATTTTCCAGTTGCACTTTTGACTATTAAGAGTTCCATTCATAAGAAATAAATAGAGAAAGCAGAACAAAGTAAGAAGTATGCACAGAGTTGCTTGAGTATGGATTTTTGCATTATATTAGGTAGAATGATGGTTTCATATAGTTTAGTTTTAGTTCTTTACTATAGCTATAGACAAAGGATAAGTAAAAAGTGATTCTTAAAATTATTCAAGAATAATCCAACAGAAAACCCCTGTGGTTACTTGTCCTTTATCCTCTCCTACCCACGATACACAAACGACATAATTTAACACATGTCTAACATTTCACTCTTTTAGAATATTAACTAACCATAGACACTAAAATATAGGGCAATACTACATAATCAAGTCACTTGGGGAAACAGAGATCCTCCAAAAATCTCACTTCAGTAACTTACCAGCATCTTTGTAAGAACCCATCCTCTGAGAACTACCGAAGTTAACATTATTAATAATGAGACAAAATCCTCTGTGTGGCCCATCCATTTTGTAGCTTCTCAATCTTTCAGTCTGTAGAAAGGAGAAGAAAAAAGCTTACAGTTTCAATTAATTTATTCAACTTACTCATATTTCCTTAACATGTCTCAAAAAACAGCAGTGAATCTCCAAGCACATTGTCACCATCCTGTCAAACTGCAG